GCCCCAGACCTTTGGGTGAGGAACAAGCACAGACTGAAAAGGGCTTTGACACGTCATGATCTGCTCTGGTTATTAACAAGACCGGTGGCAAAAGCTCAGCAAACAAACTCTGAAGAGCAAACGGGTGGGGCAAGCTGCCAAAAAGCCACTTTGGTGACGACAGTTGTTATTAACAAGGTGAAGAGGCAGTAACATTCCCTGGGGAAGATCCCATCCTCAATCTGGATGAGGGGGCAGAAGGAAAACACTGCTGCTTGCCTGATCCAAACCAATGAAGCTTCTTATTTGAGAAACACGGGCATTTCTGTGGATTTTTGCAGTAAATAACAAGATAGTACCAGGAGTCTGTCCGGGCTTTTCACTTTTGTTTTTAAAGGGCTCAATAACCCCAGAAGAGTAAACAGTCCCCTGAATGGAAATCTTACCTTTCGCTGGGTCACCGAGCGTGGAAATAGAACTGCTGTTTACACGGAGGCCTCTCTCACACACCTCTTTTGCCTTCAAAAGAAGAGACAACCTCTTTTACCATCTCTTTTCCAAGATAAGGGACACGGCCACTGAAATGTGTAGCACCACAGTCGGCAAAACGCTTGCAACAGGCAAACCTGCTGCAAGTCAATTACAGATTGTTAAGAGTCCCAAAACACCCACAATGTAAAGAAAACCAAACACAATGCCCACAGGAGGGACCAACAGGAAGAAAATGTGTTGCTTCTGACACTAAATACTCGTATTTATCAAGTGTTGCTACAAACACCTCTGTGGAAGCAACAGCTTAGAAAAATCTGGAAAAAATCCAGCATCTCCAGAAACCACTGCAAGCACAAAGCTGGACTTTGCACTTTCTTTATCTGCCTGGGCAATTTGAGGAACAATAAATGTAACGGCGCTGGCTTTGCTACAGAGTGCTTACACCTCCATAGGTACAATTACTACCCTGGGAGCATCTCACCAGCTTTGATTTAATCCACATCCAAAGCAGATTCATCAAGGTGCGCAAAGTCCAAATATATATTGACCAAACGGTGACAACAGGAGCAGTTTGAACTCATTATGGGTGAGAAATAAAAGCAAACCAGTCAAACTGTGGTCAGTCCCTTTATAAGAAACAGGGGGGACTCACCACACCTAACTTCTGCCTCCTAAAAGGCAAGTGTTTAGACTGGCCAGCTAGATGACTTCTCTGAACAACAGTGAGAGAGGAACAACCTCCAGAGAGTGATTTAGCCCAAGGATTTTAGATGTCTGCATTAAACGAGGGCCAACTGTCCTCTGAAGAGCTCTCTCCTTCCCAGAGTCTGTACAAGGAGCTCAGTCACTTGGCACAGACTGTACTAAATTTCAAACAGCCAAAATTGTCCCGCTTTAGGACAATTCCTGCACCTAAAATGAGACCAAAAGCGGTTTATTTTGCTGTGGTTCAGTCCAAACTGAACAGAACTAAATTGCACTCAGGCCACTCTCATCCTGAACAAAACCATCTCAACGAGCAAGCTGCCTGTTGCAAACCTGGCTCTGCTGGAAGGCCTGGCAGTGGCTGGTCTTTGATGGTGTGTGGTTTCTGCCCAGGGCGACGTGGCAGTCATAGCCGGGAGACGGGCAGATGTAGCTGGTCGTGTAGTTCTCAGATACCACCTTGACCTTCCCCTTGTGGCAGAAAATGGACCAAAAAAAGAAAAAAAAAAATCCCCATAACCGTTCACAGAAAGTTATTTTAAAATAAGACCTCAGAATCCTCCTTTTTTCCCCCCAAAGACAGCGTTGTTGGGGCAGCCCCACACTCCCCATCACTGAGAGGGGGTTGTGTGTGGGGGGGGGTCTTTCCAAACATGAGGGCCTGACTCGGCCAAGTTGGGCATGGCAGACAAATCTGCTCTGCTCAGGAGAACAAAGAGGAGCAGTGTGTTTCCAGTGCCAGCTACAAAGAGCAGGAGCCAGTGGGGAGGGGAGAAAGGGGCCACACGCCAGCCCCATGGAGGAAGGGAATGGGGCTGTGATCCCAGCCAACTTAGGGATCCCCCCTCAGACCCCCAAAACACACAAGAGTCTGGGGAAAATGGTGACCCTAAGGGAATTTCTGATCTTAGTGGTGGAATCTGGAAGGTCCTCTGCTGCCCTGCAGGCCACCAGTCAAGCCCAGCTGGACCTCTTGCTTTTCCAGTCTGATGCATCCCACAGTCAAAAATCCCGATGAGCTCTTAAACAGAGCTGATTTCAGATCCCACCATAGTTAAGGGCATCAATGTAGTCTTAAAAACTGCCTGCGCTGTACAGTGGCTTCTGAAAACCATCCCACATAAAAAGAAAGACTTGCATTTTACCTTAATTAGCTTACAAATGACAATATAGCCTGATTTTCCATGATACCAGGGTCTGGGATGAAGACAGTCTGCATACTTGGAAATATAAACTCCTGGAAAAACAAAGCAACACACAATAATGTGAATCATCTGTCGAGTAAAGCTCGTTGCAAAAAATACAGCTGTAAAGAGGATGCTCCTCCACTCCACAGGAGTCTCTGCAGAGCTGGTGCTGCAAACAACAGCAGCACTTGCTGCCAAAAAAAGGGTGAAACTCTGACTCTTTTCATTGCTTGACTGCTGGTATGGAACAGCATTATATATTTCAGGATCAGCTCCAGGAAAGGAGTTAACTTGGGTTTCTCCTGGGAGAAGAAGCCCAGCTAACGTCAGTTTTGCCCACCTGACATGAAAACATATCAAGCAAGGGCATGTCTCTTACAGGAAGATCTGATGAAGGGCTTCCAGGTCAGATTTGCAAGTGGGGCAGGTACTTTGCTCAAACTGGAGTCATGCAAAGGCAACGTGGATGTTTGTATGTGGGGAACACACACTGCAGGGACACGAAAGCAGGCCCATGGCATGGCACAGTCCCTCCAGGCCACTTCTTTTGCCTTTATGACTCTTCACTGTCCCAGAAACCCAACAGAAACCTTCTACCCTGTGACAAGGTCCACTCAGATATAGTTATTCCCATCCCTTCTCCATGCCCAAATCACATGTTGATTTCTTGTAGGAGGGGGGAGTTGGGTCTTCACTCCTGCTTTGTATTTGTAGACTAGATGGGTAGAGAAATACATGGGGGGTGACACAGGAACTGGGCAGGGGAAGGGCTATGAAGAGACCCACCATAATACTTATCTCAGTCCATCAGGACCAAGACATACACCCAGATAAACAACCAGTTCTTGCTTGGTTTTGCATTCACTGCCATTAACTGTTCAATAATTAAGTGTCTTGGCCTGCAAAGCCTCATGGGACGAGCGTTGGGACACATTCTGCTTCTGGCAGAAGGATTTCTTTGAGGAACGCGTCCTGCACCGCAGAGTCTTGAGGCCCCAGACCTTTGGGTGAGGAACAAGCACAGACTGAAAAGGGCTTTGACACGTCATGATCTGCTCTGGTTATTAACAAGACCGGTGGCAAAAGCTCAGCAAACAAACTCTGAAGAGCAAACGGGTGGGGCAAGCTGCCAAAAAGCCACTTTGGTGACAAGAGTTGTTATTAACAAGGTGAAGAGGCAGTAACATTCCCTGGGGAAGATCCCATCCTCAATCTGGATGAGGGGGCAGAAGGAAAACACTGCTGCTTGCCTGATCCAAACCAATGAAGCTTCTTATTTGAGAAACACGGGCATTTCTGTGGATTTTTGCAGTAAATAACAAGATAGTACCAGGAGTCTGTCCGGGCTTTTCACTTTTGTTTTTAAAGGGCTCAATAACCCCAGAAGAGTAAACAGTCCCCTGAATGGAAATCTTACCTTTCGCTGGGTCACCGAGCGTGGAAATAGAACTGCTGTTTACACGGAGGCCTCTCTCACACACCTCTTTTGCCTTCAAAAGAAGAGACAACCTCTTTTACCATCTATTTTCCAAGATAAGGGACACGGCCACTGAAATGTGTAGCACCACAGTCGGCAAAATGCTTGCAACAGGCAAACCTGCTGCAAGTCAATCACAGATTGTTAAGAGTCCCAAAACACCCACAATGTAAAGAAAACCAAACACAATGCCCACAGGAGGGACCAACAGGAAGAGAATATGTTGCTTCTGACACTAAATACTTGTATTTATCAAGTGTTGCTACAAACACCTCCGTGGAAGCAACAGCTTAGAAAACTCTGGAAAAAATCCAGCATCTCCAGAAACCACTGCAAGCACAAAGCTGGACTTTGCACTTTCTTTATCTGCCTGGGCAATTTGAGGAACAATAAATGTAACGGCGCTGGCTTTGCTACAGAGTGCTTACACCTCCATAGGTACAATTACTACCCTGGGAGCATCTCACCAGCTTTGATTTAATCCACATCCAAAGCAGATTCATCAAGGTGCGCAAAGTCCAAATATATATTGACCAAACGGTGACAACAGGAGCAGTTTGAACTCATTATGGGTGAGAAATAAAAGCAAACCAGTCAAACTGTGGTCAGTCCCTTTATAAGAAACAGGGGGGACTCACCACACCTAACTTCTGCCTCCTAAAAGGCAAGTGTTTAGACTGGCCAGCTAGATGACTTCTCTGAACAACAGTGAGAGAGGAACAACCTCCAGAGAGTGATTTAGCCCAAGGATTTTAGATGTCTGCATTAAACGAGGGCCAACTGTCCTCTGAAGAGCTCTCTCTTTCCCAGGGTCTCTACAAGGAGCTCAGTCACTTGGCACAGACTGTACTAAATTTCAAACAGCCAAAATTGTCCCGCTTTAGGACAATTCCTGCACCTAAAATGAGACCAAAAGCGGTTTATTTTGCTGTGGTTCAGTCCAAACTGAACAGAACTAAATTGCACTCAGGCCACTCTCATCCTGAACAAAACCATCTCATTTGGCATGGCATCATTAACATCAAGTTAGAAGTGAATTCCCATTAGATTCCCTGAGCATCCTCACGTAGACAAACTCTTCTCACAACATCAAAAGCATCCTTGTGAAAAATGGGCAGGAATAACTTTCCCAATAGCTGTGTCAGGCTCTCTCCACCTCAACTTTGCTCAAAACCACTTGACAAACTCCTGTCTTCACTCACAAAGGTGCTTTTCTAAGCATACCTGAAAGGTTTCACCTGCCTGAACTTGACCATAAATCCACCAGGACAAAGAGAGACTCCTTCTATCTCCCTGCAGAGGGCAAAGGAGGCAGCCAAATCTCAAACAGTAATTGACTGGAGAGATGTAAAATAAGATCCATCACTAAAACCTCCCAGGAGATGCTTTTGGAACTTGCTCTGGACTATTTATACAGTGGTAATTGCACTGGTAACAGGGTACAAAGAGCCAGGACACTTCAGTCAACAGATCTGCTGGGCTTTGTTGGGACAGAGCAAACGTGCAGACACTTGGCATCAAACTTCTTAAGCTGAATAAACATTTCAGGTTACCTCTTCTTCATTATCAAACAGGAGAAATGCAAAGGTCTCCTCCAGCTCCTCCTGGCTGTACCCGGCAGCTTCCTTTGCTTGGGCAAAAGCTTTGAGCTGCAGAAGACAAACAACACCACTTTGTTCTAGCATGTTCATGCCAAAGCAAAGTGACAGGGGACATGTTGTCCTCACACCATGAACACAAGTACCTCCAGTCGTGGTCAGCATGAGGCAGCTGTCAGTAGCCAGGTGATGCTGGACCAGCTCATGTGCCCACACATCATTCCCTCCCCCAGGCATGTGTACACCCCATCTCCCACCACAAGGTCCCCAACCCATGTGTTTGGCTGTCCATTTGTCCCCAGGAGAACATCTTCAGTGTCCTCCAAGGGACAGCAGGCACGTCCAGCCCCACAGCATCACTCTGTGCTCATCCCAGGGAAGTCCAGCCTTATTCCATCTTGCCCCTCTTCCCACACACCTTCAGCTACTGGGGAGCTTGTTTCACCGAGCAGCACATGGGCTAGTGAAGCCAGCTATGACCATCAGAAGACATGGAGACTGTCTCTGCCTTTGTCCCCAGCAGAACATCTTCAATGTCCTCCAAGGGACAGCAGGGAAGTCCTGCCTTATTCCATCTTGCTCCTCTTCCGACACACCATCAGCTACTGGGGAGCCTGTTTCACTGAGCAGCACATGGGCTAGTGAAGCATCATATTTAGTAGCCAGCTATGACCATCAGAAGACATGGAGAAGATGCCTACAAAGGGAAAACACTTGGAGGCACCTCTCTTTTCCTCTCTCGCGTTGGGACACATTCTGCTTCTGGCAGAAGGATTTCTTTGAGGAACGCGTCCTGCACTGCAGAGTCTTGAGGCCCCAGACCTTTGGGTGAGGAACAAGCACAGACTGAAAAGGGCTTTGACACGTCATGATCTGCTCTGGTTATTAACAAGACCGGTGGCAAAAGCTCAGCAAACAAACTCTGAAGAGCAAACGGGTGGGGCAAGCTGCCAAAAAGCCACTTTGGTGACGACAGTTGTTATTAACAAGGTGAAGAGGCAGTAACATTCCCTGGGGAAGATCCCATCCTCAATCTGGATGAGGGGGCAGAAGGAAAACACTGCTGCTTGCCTGATCCAAACCAATGAAGCTTCTTATTTGAGAAACACGGGCATTTCTGTGGATTTTTGCAGTAAATAACAAGATAGTACCAGGAGTCTGTCCGGGCTTTTCACTTTTGTTTTTAAAGGGCTCAATAACCCCAGAAGAGTAAACAGTCCCCTGAATGGAAATCTTACCTTTCGCTGGGTCACCGAGCGTGGAAATAGAACTGCTGTTTACACGGAGGCCTCTCTCACACACCTCTTTTGCCTTCAAAAGAAGAGACAACCTCTTTTACCATCTATTTTCCAAGATAAGGGACACGGCCACTGAAATGTGTAGCACCACAGTCGGCAAAATGCTTGCAACAGGCAAACCTGCTGCAAGTCAATTACAGATTGTTAAGAGTCCCAAAACACCCACAATGTAAAGAAAACCAAACACAATGCCCACAGGAGGGACCAACAGGAAGAAAATGTGTTGCTTCTGACACTAAATACTCGTATTTATCAAGTGTTGCTACAAACACCTCCGTGGAAGCAACAGCTTAGAAAACTCTGGAAAAAATCCAGCATCTCCAGAAACCACTGCAAGCACAAAGCTGGACTTTGCACTTTCTTTATCTGCCTGGGCAATTTGAGGAACAATAAATGTAACGGCGCTGGCTTTGCTACAGAGTGCTTACACCTCCATAGGTACAATTACTACCCTGGGAGCATCTCACCAGCTTTGATTTAATCCACATCCAAAGCAGATTCATCAAGGTGCGCAAAGTCCAAATATATATTGACCAAACGGTGACAACAGGAGCAGTTTGAACTCATTATGGGTGAGAAATAAAAGCAAACCAGTCAAACTGTGGTCAGTCCCTTTATAAGAAACAGGGGGGACTCACCACACCTAACTTCTGCCTCCTAAAAGGCAAGTGTTTAGACTGGCCAGCTAGATGACTTCTCTGAACAACAGTGAGAGAGGAACAACCTCCAGAGAGTGATTTAGCCCAAGGATTTTAGATGTCTGCATTAAACGAGGGCCAACTGTCCTCTGAAGAGCTCTCTCTTTCCCAGGGTCTCTACAAGGAGCTCAGTCACTTGGCACAGACTGTACTAAATTTCAAACAGCCAAAATTGTCCCGCTTTAGGACAATTCCTGCACCTAAAATGAGACCAAAAGCGGTTTATTTTGCTGTGGTTCAGTCCAAACTGAACAGAACTAAATTGCACTCAGGCCACTCTCATCCTGAACAAAACCATCTCATTTGGCATGGCATCATTAACATCAAGTTAGAAGTGAATTCCCATTAGATTCCCTGAGCATCCTCACGTAGACAAACTCTTCTCACAACATCAAAAGCATCCTTGTGAAAAATGGGCAGGAATAACTTTCCCAATAGCTGTGTCAGGCTCTCTCCACCTCAACTTTGCTCAAAACCACTTGACAAACTCCTGTCTTCACTCACAAAGGTGCTTTTCTAAGCATACCTGAAAGGTTTCACCTGCCTGAACTTGACCATAAATCCACCAGGACAAAGAGAGACTCCTTCTATCTCCCTGCAGAGGGCAAAGGAGGCAGCCAAATCTCAAACAGTAACTGACTGGAGAGATGTAAAATAAGATCCATCACTAAAACCTCCCAGGAGATGCTTTTGGAACTTGCTCTGGACTATTTATACAGTGGTAATTGCACTGGTAACAGGGTACAAAGAGCCAGGACACTTCAGTCAACAGATCTGCTGGGCTTTGTTGGGACAGAGCAAACGTGCAGACACTTGGCATCAAACTTCTTAAGCTGAATAAACATTTCAGGTTACCTCTTCTTCATTATCAAACAGGAGAAATGCAAAGGTCTCCTCCAGCTCCTCCTGGCTGTACCCGGCAGCTTCCTTTGCTTGGGCAAAAGCTTTGAGCTGCAGAAGACAAACAACACCACTTTGTTCTAGTATGTTCATGCCAAAGCAAAGTGACAGGGGACATGTTGTCCTCACACCATGAACACAAGTACCTCCAGTTGTGGTCAGCTTGAGGCAGCTGTCAGTAGCCAGGTGATGCTGGACCAGCTCATGTGCCCACACATCATTCCCTCCCCCAGGCATGTGTACACCCCATCTCCCACCACAAGGTCCCCAACCCATGTGTTTGGCTGTCCATTTGTCCCCAGGAGAACATCTTCAGTGTCCTCCAAGGGACAGCAGGCACGTCCAGCCCCACAGCATCACTCTGTGCTCATCCCAGGGAAGTCCAGCCTTATTCCATCTTGCCCCTCTTCCCACACACCTTCAGCTACTGGGGAGCTTGTTTCACCGAGCAGCACATGGGCTAGTGAAGCCAGCTATGACCATCAGAAGACATGGAGAAGATGCCTACAAAGGGAAAACACTTGGAGGCACCTCTCTTTTCCTCTCTCCACTGACCAGGAAGCCCAGACTATTTGACTAGAGGGCGGGCGTTATCATGCAACTACAGCTCAGAGGGCTTGGCTACAGCCAAATCACACATTACTCCAATTTCTTTTGTCTGATAATTAAAACAGAGTATGTTCTCAGTCCAGACAGGGAGAACACCATGGGAACAAACGGAGCTGGGTCTAAGGCAATGATGCTTTGGGGCTTTAATAAAAGTAGCTGTAGAAGGATGGGATTTTTTTAACAGGTTTAGAAGACAAAAAAGCAACAACCTCATCGCTGCTTTTGCTTATTTTGGCTTTAGAACCCTCAGGCAAATCAACAAATGACTTAATATCTGCTTTCCCAGAATTTTTTTTATCCAACTCCACAGTGACTATCCCAGATTTCGGCAGCCAAAAAGTCTAAGCCCTATTTAATTCATGACAACAAGCAGACTGGTCATCTCCAGTCCCCAGAGGAGACAGCCTGTCTTCCAAGCCAGTGACAGTGGGACTGTAGGGATGAAGGCGTTTTAAAAGTGGGATTGTACATACCCCAGTCAGCTGGAGAAAGGGAAACGGGGTTAAAACTGGGGGCTGCACAGCTGTGAGGGCAGACAAAAGAAATACAACCTGGAATAATAACATTAAAGCTCTCCTGCTAGTTATCAAACCAGGGCTTCAGCCTGCCCCAAAAGGCCTGCTCCAGGAACTGCTGTGGAACATCTGGCAACATAGGCTGAAAGGACCTTTTATATCTGATCAGATCGGGAAGGAAGAAGGGCAAGAAAGCAAAGAAAAGGCTCCCTTCAGTCAGGAACTGCAAATGGGGCTCTAAGAGGCAGGAAGATCAGTCACGTGTGGCAGAAGAAAGACAGACTTGCCCATAAACCAGCATTCACAGCCCTCTGCAGCTCCAAAAGAAATTGCCACCCCTTCCCCAGCTGCACAGCAACACCCTGCTCCCTCACAGGTCTCACCTCACTTAGAAAAACATCGTTTTCCACCAGAATTGCTTGGCTGTACTGAAAACCATCCTGAGATGTAGAGTCCAAGTAGGAGCTGTGCAGCACCGAAACCGCTGTCTGCAAAAGGGAACTCGACTCTTCTGGCTCTGGATGAAAACCTGGAGGAAGAAAGACAAAAAGCAGGTGGAAAAATTAACTCCTGGCATCCCCAGTGGCAGCTGAACGTGACTCACCACACCCCGGGCCTCATTTATCAAGCCCAGACCTCCATGGAGCTTGGTGGCTCCCACTGGGAGCCCCTCCAGCCACGCAACCCCCAAGTCTTTGTCTGCAAGTTAAATCACCCTTCGGCAGGAGGAATTTCAAGCTTCCTCCTAAACCCTTAAAGTTTTTCCCTTAAAAGAAGTAGTTAGAGACTGCTAGAAGCAAAGCCTGGTGGTAAATTAACTTTATCCTTTCTGAGAGGGTCAGAGTTTTCTCTTGTGCTAAAAAGTTACTTAGATTAATTGCTCGCTCTTTTAGGGTGTGAGAGTTGATGTTTGGACAAAAAAAAAAAAAAATCTCAGTTTGGACAAAAAATCTCAGTTTGGACAAAAAAAATAATCTCAGTGGATGCTCAGGTTCTCAGGGTTATCTCCTTTACTATAAAGGCCTTCAGGTCTTGGATGAATGTGGCTTTCAAAACCACAAGAGCAAACTTCCTTCAAAGCCTTAATGGGCAGAGCTCATTCAAGCCCAAATTCTCTCCACATCTCCAAAGGAAAACATCTCAGTAAAACACTTCCCAACAGCATCCCACCAAGAAGAGGTCCCAAAGCAGTTGACAGATTAAATACTGACACAGACACAAAGGAAAACCCTTCAGTACTTGTGCTCTTGCAGCCATTAAAATTCAAATGTTAAATAAAACAGCCACTTAGAAACACAGGAAACACTGGGCTCAGTCTCTACTGCACATTTAAAAATCTTTACGTTTATTACTGGTGGTGATTCATGAGCTATGAGATTTCAAATCCCAAGCTGAGTTTGCAACACAGACATATTGAAAAGGTTTATTTCTCCTGACCCATAAACTTTGGAAAATAAAGTGGTCACCTATAAGCAAAGAAATGTAGAACCACTGAACTCCACGCAAAGAGCGGGTTTTGCACACTGGTTGCTCTTTAACAAAAAACCTCACTGAAATTTTTGAGCATAAATATGTAAGTTCAACTTATGAGTGGGGGAATCTAAATATGGTTCTAAGAAAATCATGTCTTACGAAAATCCTCACTGAAATTTTTGAGGACAAATATCTAAGTTCAACTTATGAGTGGGAGAATCTAAATATGGTTCTAAGAAAATCATGTATGGTGGTGTTACAGTTTCACAGAATCACAGAATGACATGGGGTTGGAAGGGACCTCTGGAGATCATCTAGTCCAACCCCCTGCCAGAGCAGGGTCACCCAGAGCAGGTCCCACAGGAACATGTCCAGGTGGGTTTGGAATGTCTCCAGAGAAGAAGATTCCACTTCCTCTCTGAGCAGCCTCTGCCAGGGCTCTGCCACCCTCACAGGAATGAACTTCCTCCTCATGTTGAGATGAACTTCCCCTGTTCAAGTTTGTGCCCGTTAGAAATGAACTTCTTATGTTCAAGTTTGTGCCCATTTCCTCTTGTCCTGTCCCTGGGCACCACTGAAAAAAAACCAGTCCCATCCTGACACCCTCCCTTGAAGTATTGATAGACATTGATCAGATCCCCCCTCAGCCTTCTCTTCTCTAGACTAAAAAGACCCAAGTCCCTCAGCCTCTCCTCATCAGAGAGATGCGCAGTTCCCTGTCCTTCTTGAACTGGGGAGCCCAGAACTGGTCCCAGTGCTCCAGCTGGGGCCTCCCCAGGGCAGAGCAGAGGGGCAGGATGACCTCCCTCCACCTGCTGGCCACACTCTTCTTGATGCACCTCAATATTCCATTGGCCTTCTTGGCCACAAGGGCACATTGCTGGCTCATGGTCATCCTGCTGTCTGCCAGGACTCCCAGGTCTTTCTCCTCAGAGCTGCTCTCTAACAGGTCCCCCCCAACCTGTCCTGGTGCTGGGGGTTATTCCTCCCCAGGAGCAGCACCCTACACTTGCCCTTGCTGAATTTCATCAGGTTCCTCTCTGCTCAACTCTCCAGCCTGTCCAGGTCTTGCTGGATGGTGGCACAGCCTTCTGGTGTGTCAGCCACCCCTCCTAGTTTTGTACCATCAGCGAAACCTGCTGAGGGTACATTCCATCCCTTCATCCCGGTCATTGATGAATATATTGAAGAGGACTGGTTTGAGAAAACCCGTAACAATTTATTGTCATTTAGACAATCACTGAATCACCCGATGACCCCTCCCCACTCGGAAAGGGAAATCGGGGAACACAAAGAAACATGAGGGTTGAAATATAAATAGATTTAATAGAATAAGACTAAATAATTAACAATAATACTAAAGAACCAGTATTAATGCCAATACTGATATAAGACACACAAGAATTATAGTCAGCCAATTCTATCAGTAGGAAGCTGTGCACTCCCAGCAGTGGACAGCAAATGGGGGACAGCTTCAGGAGGAAAGGAAGGACTCAGGGGTCCAGCACGGGGGCAAGGAGTTCTCTGGACCATCACCATCAAGGAGAGAAACTACACCACAACCTTTTCTAATTTATACTGAATGTGACATTCTTGCTCCTCCCCACCCCTGCACCTGGCAAGGTTCAAAAACACTAAAACCTTGAATCCCCCAGAGCCTGGCTGGCTTTAAAGGAAATATTTTCATGAATTCAGACACTAGAGTCTTCTAAAAGTGAAGTTTTAGAATCATAGAATCACTCAGGTTGGAAGAGACCCTTGGGATCATCGAGTCCAACCATCTACCCTACTCTACAAAGTCCTCCCCTACACCATATCCCTCAGTACCCCATCTAAATGTCCCTTAAACACATCCAGGGATGGTGACTCAACCACCTCCCTGGGCAGCCTATTCCAATGCCTGACCACTCTTTCTGTGAAAAATTCCTTCCTAGTGTTGAGTCTAAGCATTAGACTTCCCCAGCATTAGAAGAAAAGTTAGTCCTGTGTGGCTCAACCCAGGACAGGAAATTGGGAGCACAGAAAGGAAAGTCTTTTGTGTCCCTTAAATCTTGCTCTGGGGTCTTTTGTGCCTTCTTGTATTCATTTTCTAAACCTTCCACATTCAGGCGATGCCTCTGTGATCACCAGAAGCAGCAAAAAAGCAGGTGAACACAACTTGTCTCTCACGCACAGAAAAATTAAAAATAAAGGGATTTTCCAGCCCTCTCTCGATATTATCATTTTCTCTCTTTGAACCTAGTGAGGGTAGGGAGGGGTGTTAAGTTTGTTCACTTCTTTCCCCTCACTTGTCTTTCATTTTCCTTTGTGTCTCTTGCATCCTGCGGATCAAAAAGAAGCAGCCAGGGAGTTCAGATTCCCCATGGAAACCAGATCAGGGGATTACATCCCAGCTCACAGCTCTGCTCAAAGGCTTGGACCAAACATAACACCCTTTTTTTTTTGCTTTCTTGCTGGAGCACCACGACATTTGTGTCCAGAGTCATCCTCAGAAGACAGACAGCCCTGTCCTCCATCTTCTCCTAAACAAGGCCAGCTCCCTCGACTGCTCTTCATGCCCCAAAAGCACAGGACTGCTTTGATTTTCACAGCTACTTAATTTCACAGCTATTTAATTTCACAGCTACTGCTCCGAACCACCTCAACTTTTCAGGGTGCAATATTCTGCTCTTCCTACCGATAGCACCTCGCAACTCTACATCTTGGAGAAATTTGGGGTCTTGGAGCATGAGAAAGGCTGCGTCTAAATGTGTGATCTGGGAGCCAGTGGTGTGTTTCCACGCTGAGCATGTGAGACATCGAGCTGGCAAAGAGAGATTTCGGGGTTAAAAAAAAACCCACAGGGGTGGCAGAACACTATTGAGGGTGTGGGGTGTTAAATCAGCACAAACACTGGATATCCAGTATCTTTCAGGGATAAAAGCTAAAGGCTTTTTAAAAAAAAACAAAAAAACCCAAAAAAAACCCACAGATAAAAAAAACCTGTGAAGCTCTTGAAAATGCAACACAAACAGCAATTTTGCAGATGATAACTGAAACATTTGTTCCTCCCTGCAAGTTCAGCTGCAGCGTAAAAATGAAAGTGCAAAAGGGGGAGGGGAAAAAAAAAAAGTTGCCGTAATAATACATAAATACATGAGATGAAACAATCACAGAGCACGGCACCCAGTCCAGCAGCTTGCTGTGACCCACATCTCCCCTTTCGGATTTAAGAAGCTCCTTCAGATCTGCTCCCATCCTAAGGAAGAGTCTGCACTCACGCAAACACATCGGAAAAACTCTGACACATTCAGGTTTCGTTTGCGGGAGCAGAAGGCCCTTGCCAGCCTCAGTGCAAGGCTGTGAGGAGGCGAAAGTGAAAGTGCCTAAACCAGAAGTAAAAGTGAAAGTGGCCGTTCGCCCTCCGAGCAGCTCGGACATGGTGTGCCACTACCACCACGCAGCATCCCCAGAGAACGGGACTGATTTCCCTCATGGGGTTGGTGGGACAGCAGAGACACATCTGGTAGGGGTTGGAAGGGACCTCTGGAGATCATCCAGTCCAACCCCCTGCTGGAGCAGGGTCACCCAGAGCAGGCTGGACAGGAACACGTCCAGATGGGTTTGGAATATCTCCAGAGAAGGAGACTCCACACCCTCTCTGGGCAGCCTCTTCCAGGGCTCTGCCACCCTCATGGGCTGGATGAGAGCTGGAGGAACCCAACACCATCAGGGTCCAGCTGAACCCACCAGTGGGTGTTATCCCTGCCCTGAAATCCTTGGGGAGGGGATTCACATGTGGAGATATCCTATGTGGATAGCAAGGGAGAAAAACCGGTCACCTTTGCAGCTTTTAGTATCAGTTGACAACGCTGCAAGTAAGGCTGATCTGTCCCTCATGCTGTGGTTGTGGAGAAGTCATGCTCCAAGAGCCTTGCAGAACACTATTGAGGGTGTGGGGTGTTAAATGAGCACAAACACTGGATATCCAGTATCTTTCAGGGATAAAAGCTAAAGGCTTTTTAAAAAAAAACAAAAAAACCCAAAAAAAACCCACAGATAAAAAAAACCTGTGAA